ACAAGTCTGAGTCTGACGGGTTAATGAGCTGCATCTTTAGCATGAAGACACAAAGATGGTCTGCGGGATCTGAAATCCCGTTGTACGTGGGTAGTCCAAAGGAGGAGAAGTTAGGTGGGACCGGGGTTTTGAATAGTTCTCTCGGTAGGGGATTTTGGAGAACATTCAGGCTTTTGTGCGTCCCATAGGTCAACCGCAGGTGTTCCTCGAGGAAGCTGAGGTCTACGTCGTCCCCCTCCGATCCACCGCCTTCTGTCTGAGCAGGGTTGTTAAGGACGTGGGTGGCCTTTTGCTTCTCCTCACGCGTCCTTCCTATTGAACCCTCGGTGGGGTCTTCCTTTGTCTTCAAAAGCTGGAGGATTTGGGAGAGGCTACCTTGCATGCTCGTGATTTGCAAGCCTTGGCTTTTGACCACCTCCTCTTGGGTCTGACCTAATAGAACCGCATGGCCTAGATGCGGTTCTTGGGCTGACCTAGCAAAACTGCACATTGGGGATGCGGTTTTGTTTTTCCAAAACAAACTGCACCCTCAACATGCGGTTTTTCCCACACAAACCGCACCCTCCCCCCCATGTGGTTTGTGTGTCGTAATTATTTTTCCGACATCAAACATGTTGCCATGCAGGTTGACAGACGTGGGGCTGCATGGCAGATGAAAACCGCATCCTCCCCATGCAGTTTTCATTGATGATTTTGCCTATAAAAGACAGTCCCGGGAAACCTCTTCTCTTCACACCTCTCCTTCTCCCTTTTCAATTTTATGTTGTAGCTCCCTACTTTAGTGTTTTTGCGGTTAATGTTAACTCGTAAGTTTATTTTGTATTACTTTTTATTGTGATTTGTGATTTTTATGATATTAACTGAACAACGGTTTTTTTGCAGATGTCATTCCAAATGTTCATGCTTGGGTTACGGTGAAATGGTTACATGGAAGAGAACGGAAAGGGGGCCACCTACATCGGTGGCAATTCTCAGAAAATAAAGGTCGCTACCAGACCGATGCTTGAAGACCTCTATCAAATGTGTACTAACGTTACTTGCATGGATGGTGCGAGAAGAGTTGATCGTATGGTGTACCGATATCCAAACAGAGAAGGCGGGTCGTCGTGGCACGAGGAATATCTCATAACCACTCAGGATGAAGTAGATGTCATGCTCGAATTCTTGAGGTCCAACAATCTTTCCAAAGCCGAGATGTTCGTTTACACCGAGGCGGTCGTAGGCGTTGGAGGTCATTCTGGAGACGATCAAACATCTGATATCCATGGTGGAGGTTAATTATATGGAGATCATCCCTACCAAAGTTACCATGATCCTCATTCCTATTTTCAGTACCAAGAGCAAGGTGAAGGTCATCATTAATCTTTCCCATCATATGAAGAAGAAGTTCAACCGGACCATGCCAACCAACCCGAGTACAACTTCCAATTAGGCAACGGTAGTTTTCACAACTACCGTTATGGAGCTGATGAAGGTGCCTTTCATTAGTGGAGCAGATGGAAGATGCCCTGCCAGCACCAGTTAGTGACCCATCCGATGAAGAAGGAGAGAACAACGTCAGTGCAGACAGCTCCGACCCTCTTGAAGGTGCTTATGATTCAGGACCAGAGTCAGACTCAGATAATGATGATGAGGTGGCTCGTGACCGTGTACCAGTCCCCTACTACAATCCCATCCATACGAGAATTGGTGTGTCGATAGCGACATGGAGCCGCTAGAGGTCTCAGTATGGGGTCCACTCACTGGATTTATGAAGGTCCAACAATTTGGCTCGAAGAAGGAGGTGCGGCACGCCATTGATACTGAAGCAATGAATCAGCATTTTGAATGGCACACAACTCATTCCAACACGAAAAGGCTCATAGTCAGATGTCGTAATCATCACGAGGGATGCAATGTTAGGATTCAGGCCATCAACAGCAAGAGACACGACCATTGGGTCATATCCCGTGCGGTGAACACACAAACATGTGTGTCATCCATAACATCCCAAGGCCATCGACAGTTGAAATTCAGGGTGGTTGCTGCGGCTATCAAGCATCTAATTGAGCAAGATCCTAACATGAAGGTGAAAGTCATAATCGCTGACCTTGCAAGTCGTTATGGTTATATGATTAACTATAAGAAGGCGTGGCATACATATTCAAACATTTGAAAGTAATAAAATTCATTTTGTACACATAAACATAAATCGTATTGGTTGTTTGGTAAATAATTTAATCGTATTGGTTGTTTTAAATAATTTAATCGAATACAATGCAACACTCGTTAGACTCTTAGAAGAGGTATACATCTTCTTAGAAACGCAGCCTTTTTGACAGAAAAAGGGGGGATCTGAGGATCTCTTAATACCCGATTTCCCAGGGAATGGGAGGATCATGATAATCGCTTAAAACCCCATTTCCTTAGACGTGCATCTCTTTATAAATAGTCGAAGTAAGTGGCGCTATGTATTCGATTAAATTATTGAAAACAACCAATACGATTAAAAATGATCAAATTTATTTTATATTCCACTAAGTACATTAGCAAAATAAAAGAAAGACAAATGATGAAGAATTGTATGTACCTCATGATCGTTCCAAACATCCCTTGAACGATGGTTGGGTTGGTCGTACAAGTCGGTTGGATCAATAGGTCCTTGATCCAAATAATATCATTGGTTGTACATATCCACGTCGTCCCCAACCTATGAGAGAATAACAACAAGGTTAGTACATATAATAATTAAAAAGCTTATAACAACAACAAAAATTAACCAGAATAATGAGTACGTACCGCTTGAAATTCATCATAATAAACTCCCTCTCCTTGGAACCACTCGTCCATTTTTTCGCGAAAGTTGGGCAGAAATTCGGCGGGTTTTGAGGGAAAAACCAAAGAAATGTTTTCTTATGGCAGATCGGACTTAGCCGCAACCAACAGACCACTATTTCTTAGGCTTTTGGGAGGGGAGGGGATAGAGAGATAATTTTAGAGAGAGAGTGAAGAATGGGTTGTGGTGTGAAAAAATGAGGAGGGGGTATTTATACATTTCAGACCGCACCCTCTAGGGGCGGTATGGTAATTTTGCATTCATTGAAACCGCATCTGGAGGGTGCGCTTTCCGTTTCTCGAGGCACGGAACGCAGGCGGAAGGTGCGGTCTTCGATCCTTGGCACGGATCGCTGACTTAGCGTGCGGTCCGCCGTTGGATCGCTGACTTAGCGTGCGGTCCGCCGTTGGATCGCTGACTTAGCGTGCGGTCCGCCGTTGGATCGCCGCCTCATCCAACGGTCTTCAAGGCCGCTCCCGAGGAAACACAAACCGCACCATCTGGCTGTGGTTCCCTGGCTGACGTGGAATGGATCGCACCTCCAAGGTGTGATTTCAAAAAAATGGTGCTATTATTGGAAAAATCCCATAATTTTACAATGGTTTAATTCACCCGCATAGCCATAACTTTCACGGTTTTGACAAATATAGCCACTTTTTGAAAAATACACAAATATAGCCACACTTTTGAAACTAAATTGACAACTTTAGCCATTTCCGTTAAATACTTTAACGTCGTTAGTAACTCTGAGAAAAACTTGGATGTTATGCTGATGTGGGCGCCACCTTGACACCCACGTCAACTCTCACTCCACATGGCATGCCACGTCATATTTTAAATTAAAAAAATATTTTTTTTGAAATTTTAATTAACAAAATTGTGATTCCTCTGCCGCTCGACAGTAGCTTAGAGGTAAAATTCTCTTTCTCGCTGGAAGCTTCTAAGCCGAATCAGAGCAGGCAATCGGAGAGGTGATGAAATTGGGGGATGCAGCTCCGACAGGGGCGAGAGGCTAGAGTTCGGCCGCCTTCAATGTCTAGAGTTCGGCCCCTTCAATTGGGGGATGCAGCTCCAACAGGGGCGAGAGGCTAGAGTTCTCCATGGAAGTTTCCTTCCTCCGATGAGGTGGAATCCAAATTCAAGAGAATCATCAGAGAGGGGATGTGATTAGGTCGGTAAATCAAGGTTTCTCAGGGCCTAGAGTTCGGCCCCTTTCAATGGCGATTCTCAAACCTTGGCATCTGGTAATCCCCAAATCGACCGATTCTACCTCTTTCTCCCCTTGTCAGGCCACAATCACAAAACCCACAAAAACCCATCTCTCAGAATTCGATTTCGAGCAAGAAATCTCACCAATCTCTCTTCTCCCTCTCCTCCCCTTCCTCTCTCCACCTCCCACCACCCGCATCGCGACGGCGGCTAAAGAAAGTTGAAGTCTATGCTAATCGATGATTCAAGGTACGGCAAAAAGGAAGAGGACAAAGTGTCTGGCGGAGGCTGGGTTTGCGTTGTTGACGATTGAAGGGAGGGGATGCTCAACGACCATTCAGGGAGCTGACTGGCAGAGGCGCAGTATGCAGCGGCCAGCGGCAGTGGATGCCTTCTTCCCCAACCTAAAGTTACCGGATCTGGATGACAAACAAAGAAAGAAGAGAGGATGAAGCTGGCAACGACGAGACCGAGGCTCGGGGAAGAAGAAAAGAAAGAATTCCAAACGACAGAAGAGGGAGACGGGTCGCTGGAGGGTTTCTCGAAGAAGAGGGAGAAGTCGACTTTTCCTTATTTATTTATTTATTTGGAGCATTTCCACCAAGGCATGATTTTGCCGGAAAATCACCACGTCAGCGGAAGTAGTTAGTCCAGTCAACACTTCAAACGATTCCGTTAAAATTATTGACGGAATGACTATTTTAGTGTATTTTTTTAAAAGTGGCTATATTTGTCAAAACGGTGAAAGTTATGGTTATGCGGGTAAATTAAACCTTTTACAATCAACAAAAGAATAATTTTCCAATGTTTTCTTCTTCGGAAAACCCTAAAAGAGTTTAAAAAAAAATGAAACGAAAAGGAAAGCATAAGTCGGCGGGATAATTCCCGCCCGCCCCCGCTGCGTTTGAAAGCCACCTGACGAGGCGGGTTCCCCCTTTCAACCCGACCCGGGTTACCCTTTTAATCCACTGTAGTTGCTGCTGCTGTGCAACTCCTCTCCCCACGCTCTCTCTCCCTGCCTGCCTTTCTTTCTTTCTTCGTCTCCAACTCAAGCCCAGGGTTTCAGAGCGCCGTTCACCACCACTCTCACCCTCTCAGCCGCGGCCGCCCTCACAGGTGATTCTTCTTCCTTCTTCTCGAACTCTCGAGATTACCTCCCCGCAACCTCTCTTCGCCCTATTCTATCACTGTAGTCCACTCCGCTCGATTTCCGATTCTGCACAGAAACTTTGAGCAGTTCGTCTCCAGTGCCCTTTTCTAATGCAGCTATCTCTCTGCCTGCTTGCTAGCTTTTGCTTTCTCTGGCCCGTGGTGTGTTCTGCATCGACATAGGGAACTGATTGACGGTGGCTCTCTCTCTTTTAGGGTTTTTGCTTTTTACATTTGGTAACTGTTGCTGTTAAGTTAGTCTGCCATAGAATCCTCAGCTTGAGTTCAGAACGCGCTTTAAGCCGATTGCTCCACTGCTTATTTTACTTGGATGTGTTTCTGAACTGGTTGCTGTTGACCGTTTTTTCTGTGTATTTGGATGAACTGGATCTGCTTTGCTTTCTGAAAAAGAACAATCTTGTTTGCTTCAGTGTTCAATTATTGGTTTCTGGTGGGCTTTTGAAGTATGTATTAGGACATCTTACACGTTCCTCTTTGATGAATTTTTGTTATTAAAAACAACTATGAGTGATATCATCCACTTTCCAGTGGATTTTCTTTAAGGGGTGTTTTAGTTGTTCTGATGGTTTAACTACCTGAATATTCTATGGAATTGCTTAACTCCGCCAGTTGAGATGTATGAATATGATGACCAAGCTCCTAATGGTCTGTCTCTTGTTTTGTAGATACAGATAATAAGTCATGGCTATGGAAGTCACCCATGTTCTTTTGAGTGCACAATCAATAGATGGGAATGTACGGAAGCAAGCAGAAGATAGTCTGAAACAGTTTCAAGAGCAAAACCTTCCTTCTTTCCTGCTATCGCTCTCTGGGGAGCTAGCCAATGACGAGAAACCTGCTGACAGCCGTAAGTTAGCAGGTCTTATTCTCAAGAATGCATTGGATGCCAAGGAACAACATAGGAAGGTTGAACTTGTCCAGAGATGGCTAATGTTGGATGCTACGTTGAAGGCTCAGATTAAGTCCTGTTTATTGAAGACACTTTCTGCGCTGGAAGCTGATGCTCGATCTACTGCATCACAAGTGATTGCCAAGATTGCAGGCATTGAGCATCCCCAGAAGCAGTGGCCGGAGTTGATTGGCACGCTCTTGTCAACTCTACATCAGTTGCCAGCTCATGCTAAGCAAGCTACTCTGGAGACTCTTGGTTATTTTGGTGAGGAAGTTTCGCCTGATGATGTGGATCAGGAGGACGTGAACAAGATTCTCACTGCTGTAGTGCAGGGAATGAGTGGAACTGAAGTAAACAATGATGTGAGGCTTGCTGCTGTTCGGGCCCTTCATAATGCACTTACCTTTGCTCAAGCTAATTTTAGCAATGACGTAGAGCGTGATTATATTATGAGAGTTGTCTGCGAAGCTACTCAATCAACGGATGTGAAGATCCGGCAGGCTGCTTTTGAGTGTTTGGTCTCGATTTCAGCAATGTATTATGAGAAGTTGGCCCCTTACATTGAGGAGATATTTAAGATCACATCAAAGGCAATGAAGGAAGATGAGGAGTCGGTGGCTCTTCAGGCAATTGAGTTTTGGAGCTCAATATGTGATGAGGAAATCGATATCTTGGATGAATATGGGGGTGATTTCAGTGAAGCAGGCTCTAGCATACCTTGCTTTTACTTTATCAAGCAGGCTCTTCCTGCTCTTGTTCCTCTCTTACTGGAGGCAATCCTGAAACAGGAGGAGGATCAAGATCAAGATGAAGGTGCATGGAACATTGCAATGGCTGGAGGCACCTGTCTTTATCTGGTTGCACGTACTGTAGGGGATGATGTTGTTCCGCTTGTAATGCCATTCATTGAACAAAATATCACAAAGGAGGATTGGAGACAAAGGGAGGCTGCTACTTATGCTTTTGGCTCAATCTTGGAGGGGCCATCCATAGAGAAACTGACACCCATCATTACTGTGGCTTTGAATTTCATGTTGACTGCCCTAATGAAGGATCCAAATAACCATGTGAAAGATACCACTGCTTGGACTCTTGGTCGTATCTTTGAGTTTCTCCATGGGTCGACAATTGATGCCCCTATAATCACACAAGAGAATTGCCAGCAGATCATTATGGTTCTGCTTCACAGTATGAAGGATGCACCAAATGTAGCTGAAAAGGCCTGTGGTGCCCTTTATTTCCTTGCCCAGGGCTATGAAGATGCAGGGGCGTCCTGTCCTCTTACTCCTTGTTTCCAGGAAATTGTGCAGTCCCTCCTCACTGCTTCTCACAGAGAAGATGCATCAGAGTCGAGGTTAAGGACTGCTGCATATGAAGCTCTGAATGAAGTTGTGAGGTGCTCTACCGATCAAACTGCACATTTGGTTTTGCAGTTAGTTCAGGTCATCAAGGATGAGCTTATGAAGAGCCTTGAAGGGCAGGCAATTGTGTCAGAGAGAGAGAAACAGGGTGAGCTGCAGGGCCTGCTTTGTGGATGTTTACAGGTGATCATTCAAAAGCTGGGATCTTCAGAACAAACCAAGAATGCCTTGATGCAGCATGCTGATGACATAATGAGACTCTTCCTAAGCGTTTTAGGTTACAGAAGTGCAACTGTTAGTGAAGAGGCCATGCTAGCTATTGGAGCCCTTGCCTATGCATCTGGTCCAGATTTTGAAAAATATATGCCGGAGCTATTCAAGTATTTGGAGATGGGCCTTCAAAATTTTGAGGAGTATCAGGTTTGCTCTGTCACGGTTGGTGTTGTGGGTGACATCTGCAGGGCCTTGGAAGCTAAAATTTTGCCTTACTGTGATGGTATCATGACCGAACTCCTCAAAGATCTATCAAGCAATCAGTTGCATCGATCCGTGAAGCCTCCAATATTCTCCTGCCTTGGTGATATTGCGTTGGCTATAGGTCCAGATTTCGAGAAGTATCTAATGTACGCCTCTCCAATGCTCCAAAGTGCTGCAGAGTTGTCTGCACACACAGAAGGTGCTGATGATGAAATGATTGAGTACACGAATGCACTGAGGAGCGGGATTTTGGAGGCATATTCTGGAATCCTTCAAGGTTTTAAGAACTCAACCAAGACACAGCTCTTAATTCCTTATGCACCACACGTGCTTCAGTATTTGGACAGCATGTACAAGGGAAAGGACATGTATGTCACAACATCTATCATCAATGTTCTCCATCGACTTTGTTATTTGCTTGTATGTACATATCCTGGTCCTTATTTAACTTGGATGCACTTGCTTTCTTCTTTTGCAGGGATGACTTGGTGATGAAAGCCGCAATTGGGGTACTTGGAGATCTAGCTGATACGCTGGGGAGCAATGCTGGTTCTTTGATACAGCAGTCTCTTTTCAGCAGGGACTTCTTGAATGAATGCCTGTCATCCGATGATGAAAACATCAAGGAATCTGCTGAATGGGCCAAGCTAGCCATCACAAAAGCCATCTCGGTATGAATGACAATGGAGGGAGGTTGCTGCTCGGCGAATTGGCGTGCTCTTTCCTTAAGAGAAGTCTTGCCAGCGTTCGGTGTACCTGAGTAATTTTTGCGGGGTTTCTCCATCTATCTGCTCATTGAACAACAGTTTTCAGATGGCAAAAATCATTGGTTTTTGAACAGATGAATGTAGGCTAATGGACATCAGGTGTCTTCTGGTTTACAAGGTCCTTTTCTCTCGTTGCTAGATATTATCGTTTGGTTACTGGTCTATATGTCGGTCTCATCCACCATTTTATTTTGCTTCTGAGTCTCTTTCTTGGTTATGGCATCATTCATTGTAGTTCTTTCTATTTGGTTTTGCCTTCCAATTGCATGAATAAGACTATAAGAGTAAGGACGCATAATAAATCATTGCAAATCAACAGAGTTGTGCAGCTGCTACTAAGAAAGTGCCTTTTTCCCCCCTGGGATACATCATCTACCACTCTGACTCTGCTACTGCAACAAACACACAGAAGTGGGGACGAAACATTGCGTCTTTGATCAGGTGAACTCTTCCTTCAAGTAATCAGGTCCAGGCCTGAAAGGATCAGAAACCTCGTAAGCCTCCGGCCGGTAAAACCCGGCATCGTTCATCCGGTTGCTTAGCACGTGAAGGATGGCTTTCTTGTTCCCGCCATAGTCATCTCTGTTCCGCTCGATGTACTCCGTCGCCTCCGCCGCGACCTCGTTGACGAACTCGTACTTGTTGTCTTCGTTCTTCATCAGCCACTCTATGTCGAACGACAGCATCTTCCCGTTTTCTCTGATCTTCCTCACTTGCTCCTCTAGGAATGGAACTCTCCCCAGTTTCACTCGCAGCATATCATCCTCCTTTGTCTGCAAACCAGAAAACGTGATCAAGCCACTATCTTTCGTTCAAGAATTCGTTATAGTTGGAACTCTTCGATTCGCCGATTTGATCTCCGGTATGGGAAAACACAATTATCAACCAAATCATCAATTATTCTATCTTCAAAACGAGTCTCCTTTGGATCTTATCCTAAGTTCCTAACAGTTGCAGCTTTGTCTCGAATGATAATGATAAACTGAAAGCGGACTTTGGGAAGGAGAAAGTTAGGTATCGTACCAACTTCCTCCGGCGCCACACATGCCGCCGATTTCTTGACTGCGCCGCGACCTGTGGTGGAGGAAGAAATGAAGTATCACTTCAGAAATCAGAACAAGATACGCTGTATAAAAATTCGAGGAAGAAAGGAAGATGAGAAGTGATTACCAGGTGGGGTTTCCGGGAGCTGGAGCAGAGATTTGCTCCGACGGGAGAAACCGAACTCAGTGCAGAAAGAGACATTGCCGCCCGCCGCCGCGCCGGTGGGATTTTCGCTTTGTTCTTTCGGGTTCCGCCTCCGTTGGTTCGAAGAGCAGGTAGTGGAAAGCATTTGCTGCTTGAAATTCAAAAGGCAACCAAAAAAAAGTGATTGAAAGTGGGCCGAATCAACGGATCCAGTAGAAAAGATTCGTCCTTCCTCCTCGGCCTGGCTCTGGCCCATTTCTAGTTTAAGCCCGGTAGTCCTGAAAACCTAACGGATAGAAGAAGAATGAAAAGCCGTTAACACAAAACGATGGTCGCAGCGTTGACTGTTTGGTTATTAACGGTCAAAGGAAGAATCCTGCGTGAGTTGCAAGTAAATGACGTCGTGTACCTAAATGGATGATGTGTCACATCTTTGTCAGGAGAAATCTGCTGATGAGCATCACCGGATCTCGTATCTCGAAAAATTGTTGTTACTTTTCTGTTACTCTTTATTATTATTTTTTTTTGGTACAAAGAAAGACTCTACTCTAGTGTACAAGGTTAGTGGCGTCTGGCGTGTAATAATAATGCAGCAGACTGTGCATCGGCTGGCGCCGAAGCAGCTGCAAGCAATGGCCTATTTCCACGGAGGACCGAGACAGAAAACCGGCACCTAGAGCCATGTACCACCAATGGGTATAAAATAATTCAGAAATTAGAAAGGACTTTTGTTTTTATTTTGACCGTGAGCTCACTCCATTTTATTAATCCAAAGTCAAAGCGGCGTTTAGCATTTAGCAAGTGCATACCAATAGAATCTGGAGGATCATCTCATCTAGCCATTGGCGGTTTATGAAATGGACACTGAGAGGAAATATGAGCTAAGATAATGTGAAAATTTTATTCTACCAACGAAAGAGAAAGAAACAAGATTATCTTTTTATAAGAATAAAGAAATTAGAGTTAGAATATTAACCAGAGACGATCTAGTAGCAATCCAATCAGTTCTAACATTCAACTTATTTGACACTGCCTTGACCTTGATTTGAAGGTTCATTCTCAGGATTGAGACCATAGATCCTATCCAGAGTTCCAGCCTGCTCCCCACCATGGCAACTTGGGAATTATTAGGAGAGTGCTTTGACTAATAATTGACACTTTGATTGAACCACAAACACATAATCATATTCGCGTGCTAATTTAATGCCCTCCAAATGGGTTATCGTTCCTGCTTCAATCGAGGTGGAACAAAGGAGGGTATTAGCTCGCCCATCACACTCTTGTCCATGATGGTTAAGAGCCACTACGTCATATGTCATCGGTTGGGAGTCGTTTATGAACGACCATCATAGTGAAAAACCAAAGTGTGATTACCTGGCAGTGGGAAAGTAAGCGAATGGGGTCCCCTAGGGCGAGAAGGATGAGAGTCGTGGTGGGGTAACATCCGGCAAATCGTCCACTCAATGAAGTCCATATAGGCTTGCATACAATCATTGGGTGACAAGGTGCCCGATTCTTGAAAACACATTCATTTCTCACCTTCTAGATATTCCAGCATATGAATATGATATGAATTAGGGAAGTTGCTATGGTAGCATCTTTGAGTGAGCATAACAAGTCGACGAAAGTAGTAGCATGAGAAGGGAGAGGGGATGAAAAATGGTGTTTCGGGAGGTACTCGCATGACCACACGCGAAGACACCATGGTGGAGGGACTCATTAGGGTTTTGGTAAACTGGTCAAGTCGAGTTAGGGGAGCATTTTCTATGGAGGAGACTCTCCTTCATTGCCAGCTGACCATTTCTAGAGCACTTCTAAATGAAGAAAATGAGTTTAGGATGAAGGTCTAAGCTCCAAATCCACTTCCATTTGTCAGTGTCTCCCATGGGTTGGGAGTTAAAGGTGGCCATATGTAGATCGTGGTAAGCCGTCTTGACTAAAAAGGTGTTTCCTTAGTATTTTGTAAGTTTCCAAGCCCAAAAGTCTTATGAGTTCTCTCCCCAATAGGAAACCTCAGTATAGCTTCTAGTTCAGAATTCGAGACGTGACCCTAAAAGAGGTGAGTATTCCATCTTCTTTCCCTAGGTTCAATCCATTCTTTGGCTTTTACCTGTTCCTGAGATCCACTCTCCTTGCTTATATTAGGAAGGAAAGGTATCAAAGGATCTTGATCAATCCATGTATCATCCCCAGAACCTGTTACTCTTAAATTAATGACTTTCTTTGCCTCCCAGAGGCTTGTCCAGATCCATGACGGTTTGTTTCCTTTTTCAGCCGACAGGAAGTTGCCTCCCGAGGATTAAAGTCATTTCAGAAGATGCCACCAGATGGAATTCGGGTTAGTAAGCAATCGCCTAGCTTGTTTGGCCAACAGGGCTAGGTTGAAATCTCTAAAGCTTCGGAATACCAATCCCCCTTCTAATTTCGGGGCACATAGAATTTCCCTTATGGCATTAGTGCGTAAGAATCTTATGAAGAGTTTCTAAATAGTATAAGTCAACCATGTAATATGCCTTTTTATATCCAGTTTGAGCATCATGTCTCTCCTTCTACCCAATTTTATGGTTTTTGAAGTGATGAAGGGCTTCATGTACGATGATGATGTTATCTTGGATGGGTTGGCCCCCATTGAAAGAGGTTTGAAGTTCTTATACCAGAGAGGGGGTCCACTTCTTGAGTCGGTAGCCATCATCTTTGAGATAACTTTATACTTAAAGTTGCATAAGTTTATAGGGCGGAATTGGCTAATAAGCTCCGGATGGTCGATCTTGAGGACCATTACAATATGTGTATCATTTCATCCTTCTAGCATGGATGTTGTCTAAAAAAATCTCTAACCTCATTACATAGGGTATACCCAACCGTATCCTATAAGGGCCTATAAAACTTGATAGAAAAACCATCCGGCCTGGAGCTTTCCTAGCCCCAGGAGTGAGTACTGCATTTTGGATCTCTTCATTATTCACTGTAGCACAAAGTTCCTCATCCATCTCTCGTATTACCTTTGTTGGAAATCCTTTTGATTTAGCCTTGAAAAAAATCTTTCAAGAACTCTTATGTCATTCCCTTCAATCTAATATCGTCTTCTACCCAGTTCCCCACCTCATATTTGAGTCGAAGGAATCTATTTCTATGCCTTCTATAGATAGTGCTGGAGTGAAAAATGAGGTATTATGGCCATCTTATTGGAGCCATTTTACTCTAGATCATTGTCTCCAGAAGGATTCCTCATCAAGCCACAATTTTGAAAATTCCACCATGAGACTCTTCTCCTCCTCCAAATTGTCTTGTGTTCGAGGAGGTCTTTGTAGGATGCTATTGTGGAAGTCTTTCGACCAAGCCTTCAAGTACCTCTCACACTTGTTTAATTGGTTAGTGAATAGACCACCTGGGCCCCAAGCTCTAGATACAATCTCCTTGCAATCATTTTTGTTTATCCATCAATTCTAATTGGGCAATGATCTGATTCCACCATTTTTCACAAAAAACAACTGCTTCTCGTAATTGTGCTCTCCATGAAGTCGAGCATAATACTCATTCCAATCTTATTCTTATGATGTTATAAACTTCGCACTTGTAGGACAGTGTGAATGGCTCACCTTCGAATCCTAGATCGATAAGGACATTGTCGGAGATTAAACTCTTAAAACGGTCCACATTCTCGTATCTAAGAGGTCATCTCATATCCTTTCCATGATCATAGATAGGATCTTTAAAATCACATGCACTACCCCAATCATCCTCCTTACTTCTTCGAAGAGAGCTCAAGTGCTCCAAAAATTCCTTTCTACTAACTACAATAGTTGGGGTATGAACAAAAGTACCCAAAAAAAACTTCTTACCCATATAGCAAAGCCCCTAGACGAGTTAATAGGTTCAACATAATCTCTATTGGGGAAAATATTGATACTTCTTCTTTGTTCCTCCATGAAAGCTTCATTCTTGCTAGTTTCCATAAGAAAACTGTTGATGTCGGGATTGTATCCGACACTGATTTTTTTTATGTTCGGAACCGGAGTCGGTCGACGGCCACCTTTCACCTCGAACTTCTCTCGGAATGTTAGCTTCGGTCGTCTCCTACAAAAAGGTTTTGTCGGCCGATCTCGACGGGGACACTCTCCGACGCTCAAGTTAGTGAGGGGGTTGAGTGGAGAGGAATATGACCTCAAATGAAAGATGAGGGAATGGAGTTGAGAACTAATATTTGCGCTAATCATAGCGAGAGTTCACGAGTCTAGGCATGGGAATTTTTTCTTACCTCAACCTGAAGCAAAGTGGCCTTTTATAGAGGCCTCCAGGCGAACATGAAGGGGGTGCGTGTCTCCCTCAGGAGCTTGGTGGTGTGGAGAGAGGACACGTCACAGGGGTATGTGGCTAAAGGTTCTAGGTGACCTGGGGTGGCAAAGAGCCCAAGGTGGTCGAGGTGACCCGGGGTGGTTGACCACAGGGGTGACCGGAGTGATCCCAAGGTGACCCGGGGTGATTGACCCCAGGTGTCCTGAGTGACCCCGTGACCGCAGAGTGGGCTAGGTGACTCGAGGTTATTGACCCCAGGATCGTCGGATTGACCCCAACCCAGGGTGGTTGACCCGGGTGGTCGGAGTCAGTGGCGGAACCACACACAAGCTTGGGGGTGCTTTGCAGCCCCCTTGGAGGAGCAGGCAAAAATCGCAACAAGAAAAATAAATAGGAAGATTGAACCATTCACTTGCCAATAATTTATAGCCTTTCATACCATCTTCATTAAATAGGTTTGGTTATCAAAGTATTTATATCTCTTTATTTTTAAATAATGATTTGTCCTAAATTTATTACTGAAACGATATCGTTGTTTCGCAAGGACAGTTTTTGAAATCTATTAACGACGATTGGTTGAATGATGCAGACACCCAAAAAATGAATGTGTTCTACAATGATGTAATTTCATAATATCAAATCTCGCCGAGATTCGTTGTAAAAGGTGTGCATAGATTGTTATTTTGTAATTATATTGTACAATTCTTGAGTATTGTGTTGTTGAGTTTTATTTCGTTTAGAATTTATTGTTTTTTTATATCAATTCTTGAGTGTTGTGTTTTGTTATAAATAAAAACACCCCCTTAACTAATTTTCTGGCTCCGCCACTAGCCGGAGTGACCCCAGGGTGGGCTAGGTAACCCGAGGTGATTGACCCGGGGCGGTCAGAGTGACCCCGAGGTGATCGAGGTGATTGACCCTGATGGGCTGGAGTGACCCCAAGGTGACCGAGGGTGATTGACCTGAGGTGGCCGGAGTGACCCCGGGGTGAGCTAGGTGACCCGAGGTGATTGACCCCAGGTGGCCGGAGTGACACCAAGGTGGGCTAGGTGACCCAAGATGATAGATCTCGGGGTGACCGGAGTGACCCCGGGGGGTGGGCTAGGTGATTCGAGTTGATTGGCCCCGGAGTAGCCTAGTTGACCACAAATAATCTGCAGTGATCGCTGAGGGTCGCTGAGGGTTGCTAATTATGGACTATCTAGGAACACTTTCATCAAATTAATTTTTTTAATTTAGGGTCCATAAAAACAACAGAAGAACCAAAGTGACAGAAAAATGCTTCGCAAACTTTTTGTGAGGGGTGAGACAATTTCCCTATAGTTACAACTTACTATAATCATGGATGATAAGGTGGCTTATGGCGAACCACCGTTGCCCTTTTCTCGTTGTCTTCGCCATCTTTGTCACCTTCAGGGGCGGATCTAGGGAGGCCGCCCTTGGGCCACGACCTAGTCCTCCCTCGATCCAGAAGCTAGTATAGCATTTGTAAATTTTCAATTTTTGATGCTCGTTTCAGTGTCTTCGTGTTACGGCCCAATCCTATTCGTCTTTTTTCCAATGTGACCTAGTGCTCTACCCGATCCTAAATCCGCCGCCAGTCACCTTCACAAGTGGAATGAGCCTTGTACTTCTTCTTCCTATTTTTTCCTTTGGCATCTCTTGAGAAAACATAACTTGATGGGCTTATATTAAAACTAGCATCTTCATTCATCCAACTCTTGGCCCCTCTAGAGTAAACACGTTTGATAACATATATAAACATTCTTCATTGATGTATATACATATTCTCTTAATGTTTGTGCACACATTTCTCTTGGAACAAATATTTAATCCACATTTAATTATTTTTTTACATTTACCTCATGTTTTACACATGTATAACATAGTTTATACACATTTATACATAGGGGTCTCATGATAATTACCAAACCAAATAAGTCTAAATTATGTTAACCATGGAATGTGTTGATGTGACTTAATCGGACTATCAGCCGCTACGACTGGTGATATGATCCCCAATTGCCAACCATTCTCGTCACAATTACTTGACAAAGAAGCTATCGAAGTTGGGAAGAAGAAAGGCAGAATTTGGCCAAGTGTTGGGACAGTTTCGAGATGTCTACTTTGGAGGCATGGTTCTCACAATTGGCTCAGTGAAAATTGAATTTCAAGGGTTGTTTTACAGACAAAGTTTCCATGTTTTCAATGGTATGCTTTGTGGATCAAGAAGATGTCATTAAGGTTGTTTTCCAAGGTCTCAAAGTTGCTATCTCAAAATAGGAAAACTGTCAGAATCTGTTCAAGTATAAATCTGTGTTCATGAAGCCTACTTTGGAGCTCAATTCGAGGATCATGGAAGAGATTCAAGTCCAAAGTCTTCACAACATGAAAATAGGTATGTTTATCTACCAAGGGAAGGAATTGGATGAAGGATTGGAGTTCGGGAAGGCCTCGAACGAAAGGCGTGAAGTTAGTACGAAAGCTGTATTTTGACTGTTTGCTGGCAGCTTGCTTGTGCTTCAAGAATGGAGTTTAAACCCGAATTTTGTGTCCTTTTTAAGGTAGAATTTTACCTTAATTGTTTCCTAGTTCTATTAGGTTTGGATTAGGTTTATTTGCCTTTAAATACCCTTCTATTTACGTTGTTAAAACATAAGACTTTGATTAATCGAAAAACAAACCCTTTGGTTTTGTGCAAGTTGAGACTTGTTTGAGTTTGGTGGATTCCAAGCTTGTGAACTTTGTATCGATTGAATATCCTCTTCAATCTAGGGATGGCAAAAATATCCGTAACCGTGGATATCCACCCGAATCCGACCTAATCGGGTAGGGTAAAATCCGAACCCGAAGAATTTTTCGTGGGTACGGGTAAAACCCGAACCCGAATGTTGCGGGTAATGGGTGGGCATGGTTATCTCACTATCCAACCCGAACTCGCCCGATTATACACATGCATATGTATTTTGTCTAGAAATATTCATTATTTTTCTCTAGAATATTTTATATTTAGCATATAATATAATATTTTCATGAAATTATGTTGTTTTAATTAATTTTCGTCAGTCTAGTGAATTATTGTCGTACTTTTCCTCTTACGTCATGTGATTATACGTGTGAATGTTAACATATTGGTTGAAATTATAAGGAGAAATTATTACCCATGGATAACCGTGGATACCCGAAACCCGAATGGGTATGGGCATGGTTTTGATTTTCTACCCGTTTCTCGTATGGGTACGGGTATGGGTAAAACCCGAAGTACATTGGGTAGGGTAACGGATATGCACTATCCGCCCCCGACCCGACCCATTGCCATCCCTACTTCAATCGTGGTCGAGCAGCTACCCTTTTATACCATACGAGCTTTCCCCAGGTGTGGAATTGTCCGTTGGTTCCGTTTTA